CCGGACCCCTGGGGAGAGGCGGAACGTGAGAAAATGACAGCTGGTGAGGCAGAAATTTGTATCTACAGCCAGGTCCCCGCTGGGAAGCCTTCGTGACAGCTGCCAAGAGCCAGGGGCTCAGGCTCAGGTCAAGAGCAGACAGGTCTGAAGTCTTCAGAACACTTCATCTCTGCGCCTTACCAAATAAAACACCGATCAGCATGTGTCAAAGGGTGACTTTGGGCACATCTGTTTGCAGGGACATTAATAGAAGTAGAAGGGGTTCAGAACAGCTCCGCACCCCAAGGCGTGCCACTTTGGCATGTGGGTAATTTTGAGCTAAAGGCAATCGAGACACTACAGGCTCATGAGAAACTCCTGCCTCTCTCTTAAAAAATCAAATTAGTGGCCTTACCCATAGTAAGAGTTATCATCAGAAATAACTTTTTATAATCTGTCTGCAGGACAGGACAAACTCCTAATTACTGAACACCTGCTTTTCTTATCGTCCTGCAATGACCCTCCTCCCCTCTGAAGCCCCAAGCCCTATAGCTTGTCCCGTCTGTGGGTTCCCGTAGGTACATGTGTAATTGAATTTGCTCATCTAATCTTGTTAATCCATTTCATGTCAATTTAATTATTAGACCAAAGGAAAGAACCCAGAAGGGTAGAGGGCATTTCTTCTTCCCTGACAAAGTTACGGAAGAAAAGGTTTTGTGGTCACGCAGGTTTAGCAAATGCCTTATGACACTTAGTCATAAGTGTCATAAACACTTAGTCATAAACAAAACTTTTATGGTTTAAAAGTTTTGTTTTTTATTTTATTTATTTATTTTTTTTACAACAGGGCTTCTTGAAACCTTTGACGTGCATCATGAATATAAAAAGAGAACTGAGTACACAGCATGCCCTGCATTAATTTGAGCACAGACCTTTCCTTCTGAAAAGCCTCTTGAGGAGTCCTCTGACCAGGGCACAGCCTTTGGGGACGGCAGAGAACCTGCAGACCACATCGGCTGTGCTTCTCACCAACCCCCTGAGCCAGAGACTGGGCGCTGTTCATTGTCCAGCTCTAGTGGGGCAGAAACAGCTTGCAATGTCCCCTGAAAGGGCATGACCTGGGTCTCAGGATGCACAACCTCTCAAGAGCAGTCAGGGCCTAGTTCTGTGTATGTGGGGAAACTCTCGTGCCAGCGTGGCTGCCCCGAGCTGAGATTTGGGCCTAGGCCGAGAAGGTGCGTGGGGAGAGACAAGTAGGCCTCAGAATCCTAGAGACAGATGGGCATGTGACAAGGTGGAGTGATCTGAATGAGGTGGAAAAGAAGTACACAAATTTGGGAGGATGAAAAGTCAGCTTATGTCCCTTGAGAGGTAAAACTCCAGGTGAAGGACACCCATTTCTATACTCCCTGAGGAGGGAGCGGGAACAGAGCTGCAGCCCACACAGCAATCGGGTACGGCTCAGACTTTGAGGGACTCCTGATGTCAGAGACGCCCACTCAGGAGAACACAAGTACTGAAGTCAGAAACGGACCGACAGTCTTTGCCCTGTCCACCCTCCAAGGCCCGAGCTTCCCTGACCAGCCTCGGTCCCCACCTTGGACAGTGATGCTCACGAGTGGTGACGAGTGCCGCATCTTCCCTATGAACCCCGTGCAGTGGTACTCGCCGCTGTGGCTGCCGTTTGCTCGTGGGATGGAGAAGAAGAAGTTCTTGTTGGAAAACTTTCTGGATGTTTTGTTCTGGAAGAACGTGACCTTGTACAGAGGCTTGTCCTTCCAGCTGTGGCACCTCAGCATGATGGACTCGCCCTCCTGGAACAGCAGGCGGGGCGTCTGGAGCAGCAGCCACCCTGAAAGACGGACATGGAGGGAAGGGTCTGAGGCTGAATGGCAAGGCCCTTGCAGGCTTGGGCTCGGGGCCACTTTACCCAGAGAATGTAGAAGGATGTCAGCCGGAGGAGCTGAAGATGCTCATGGCAGACGTGAGCTTTCTCTTACAGGAGAATACGATGGTGCCTGTGAGTCTGTGTGACCCTGAAGGACAGAAGTCTTCAGAAGGGGGAGGGAGAGGAATTTAAAATCCTGGGATGGGGGATGGCTGAGCCCTGGTAACTGAGGGGCTAGTGGCAGGACCTGAAAGTTTGTGTGGATGCAGCACTTGTGGTCTGGAGATTACTAATTTAATGGCAACTTTTGAACAAGCTTTGGGAAGTGAGGGTGGCAGCCATTAACTGCATTAGCAACAGGTGGAGGCTCACCCAGCTGAATGGATTCTTCCATCCCTGAAAGATATAAAGTGTGACCTTCTGAATTCAATATTCACTTGTGACTTTGAACAAGAGAATTAAAACAAGCTTTCAAATGTAAAATGGCTTTCCCACCCTGCCTACAAACACCTGCCATTCCCTTCATTGATGGCAGAGTAATCAGATTCCAAAATTCAGCTACCTTGGAGGACAAGTCTGTAAAGAATGTCTCAAAAAACTTCCTAGAAAAAAAAATCCAATCGCTCTAATTACTATTGAAATAAATAGTAGAATTTATTACGTCTTATTTAAATGAAAACTCACTTAAGAAAACCATATTCTGTACACAAAAGGCAAGGCGCTGTGGTTGAGACAGCAGGAAATGAAAGTAAAGTCAGGATTCTGGTTTGGGCCCCACCAGCAGCTCCTGGGCTCTAGGATCCCACGAGCTTGATTTCTTTGCACAGTGCAGGGGTGGGGCCAGGGGGGTTCCCTCTGATGGCCCTTCCAAGTCAAGGTTTTTTCAATCTCTACTTTCGCATTTTTGCAGGAAAAGTCAGAAGCACACTCAGCTGTTGGGGGGCAGCAATGCTCAGAGAAGGGACGGGCAGCTGAGACGTGGGGGCAGGTTTTGGAGGCCGAGTGTGTCAGGGAGGAAGAAACTCCTCTACCCTCAGGGTTCTTTCATCTTCTCTAGTAAGTAAATAGAGAGGAGACGAGCGAATGTCATGTATGGGAACCCCGCACCCAGGAGAGTCAGAGACCCCGCAGGCCTGAGAGGTTCGGGGACAGAAACAGAAAAGGGGGGATGTGTGACGTTCTGAGCTAAGGACAAGCTGAGGGGCCTGGGGCTTCAGAGGGGAAGAGGGTCATCGCAACGGGATGAGAAGGCGTTCAGTAATTAGGAGTTTGTCCTGTCCTGCAGACGGGTCACAAAAAGTTACTTCCGGTGATAACTCTTAACTATGGGCAAGGTTCCTAATTTGAATTCTTTAGAGAGGTAAGAGGTAAGGTGAGCCTGCAGCATCTCAATTGCTTTCAGCTCAAATTTACCCACGGGCCACAGTGGCACGCCTTGGAGTGGGGGTGGTCTGTTCTGAACCCCTTCATTTATTTAGCATTTATTCTCCTTTCAATAGGGCACCATGGTCGGAAAGTGACGCCGCCGCCGGGCCCCCTCTGGTAGGTACAGGGACCTTAAAAGACTCCAAAAAATCTTAAGGCTTAAGCAGCATTTTAACACTGAATGCTCACACGTGGCAATGTTCGGGGTCATGCACCCAGGTGCAGCTGAAGTCGAGCGCAAGGTGAGCCGCTGGCGCGTTCGGCGTTCGGCGGGGCCTGGTTAGCGGGTTTCTGCACAGAACCCGTTAAACCCGGCACTCGGAGACACACCCAAACCTGACTCAGATCACGTGACTCCCTCAACCAAAACCCTCTCCTGAAGTCCCATCTCATTCAGGAATGAAAGATGAAGTCGTAGCAGCAGACTGCGAGCCTCCACGTGACCGAGCCCGCCCTCCCCCACTTCTGCCGCGTCTACCGAGTGGGGGCGGGGGGTGCTCCCTCCAGCTTCCTGCCGCTCGGGCACAACCTTCGTGGGGCTTGCGCCTCGGTCCGCCTCCAGCCCGGCGCTTACCACGCTGCCATGAGGGCAGGACGGTTTTCTGGAGCAAAGATTTCCCTGTGCTGCCTTCGCACCCCGCGGCCCGTCTGTGACCTTGTCACCACCTCCTTGCCCAGTCGGAACCGAGGCAAAATGGCCTCGCACGTGAGAAACACTACCTCCCCCACGCAGCAGGAGAGGCGTGGGGCGTGAGGAGGACGGTGACGGGCGCCACCTGTCACCGCCCCGCCCCCGCCCCGCCGGCCGGGCCCACTGACCCGAGATCACGTCCAGATGCACGGGGTCGCTGAGGCTGGTCTGGGCCGTGTGGCACGTGTAGTCCCCGCTGTCACTGGTGCTGGCCGTGAGGCTGTAGCTGGACTGGGCCTGAGTCTCCAGGGAGTTGCCGTTGTGGAACCAGCGGGTGGAGGGGCTCCCAGGGCCGGGGGCTCCCTTGCAGGTCAGAGTCACGTTGTCCCCCTGGAGCACGTTGACCCACGGGGGCTCGAGGCTCAGCGTGGCCTTCGGGAGCCCTGCGGAGGGCGGGGAGCAGAAAGGACAGGGACAAATAACCTTGGAGAGACTGAATTCCAAAGCGCTCCGGGTCGCCTGCAGACCCAGCTGGGGTCGGCCTGCAGCGGCCTCTTTCAAAAAAAAATCGGGTCTTGAACTTTGGTGCGGCCCGCGGGATTCAAACCCCAGGGCCCGCTAAACTGAGAAACCCGTCCGTGCCGAACCCAAGCCCGGTTCCCGGTGGAGCAGACTTTCCCCTCGCAGTAAATGTGGCGCCAGCTGCGCGGCAGTGGCACCGCGCCTGCCAGGGGCTCGGGCGGACTCACCAGCTTCCCTGTCCGCCGAGGCTGTAAGAGAAGAGCGCGCGTCAGGGCCCCGCCCTCCCCGCGACCCGCGCGCAGCCCGCTTCCCTGCTCTCCCTCCCGCCAGGGCGCTCCTTCCTCTCGTCTGCTGTCCCTGTCCCCCAGCAAGGCTACTAGGTAAACAGGACTGCTGCAGGGACTGTGAAAGGACGTCTGCATTCTGACCTGAGGGACCGAGGGGACGGTAAGAACTCGGGGTTCTCTCTCCCCTTTCAATCTGTTCCCAGAGGCCAGGGCCAGGGCCAGGGCCCGGGCCCGCCCCTCACCTCA